AATTAAAAGTCATAATGTGCTCACTATTTTTGTGTTCAAATGTCCTTCACAGCTCATGCAAACTTCAACATGTCAGTGTTAGGGCAAGATGGATACCAGGCAACGACCAGAGAAATTATTAAAACCTTGGTTGATTTATTTACTCGTGTTCATTCAAACGAACAATGTACATGTATATCGAATACGACTGGCTAGATTTAGAATACAAACAGAGGAAGCAGCAGATTGACACATTGATTTAACATGTAACCAATTCTCTATCGACGTCATGAAATTTCTTCTTCCGTTGAAAGAAAGAAAATCAAGAATTCTTTTCAAGCGCGACTTTCCTCTTTTCTAGTCGTGCCAAATGAGCAGAAAATGAATGCTTTACAGGTGATATCTTTGCCCTTCTGCTTTAAGGCTCAGTTTTCATCTCCCACATGCATCCCAAAATATCTCCCTTTTTTTTAAATTTTGTACCTTTTGACGGTTGCCAGACTCTTTGCTATACTTTAAAAATAGCCTCTCAATTCAGGAATTCACTAGCAGCCAAGTGATCGAGCATGCATTTGGCAGGTTAAATTTAATTTGTAAAACGGCTGAAAAGATTATTTCAAGTTAATGTTGAATGTAGAAACCACATGTGTGTTTAATTAATACAGTCTTCTTTGCTCTTTGGAATGCTTAAACAAATTAAGAGCAATGAAAATGCCAAGATAACTGAATAGTAATTACTGCTTAACCTGAAAGAAATCTTCATTATATGTTTTCTCATATCTTGCCTCAATGAAATTTTAATGCCTTTGAAAACTGAAATAAACCAGAAAAAAAAACAATTCCAGAAAAAAAGCACGCAAGGAAACAATTTTTATGACGTATACACGGTGTTTGGCGCGGAATGATCGTGTTTACATCAGAAATGAATGCCAAAGCAGCTAAAAAAAAAACACGAAGTCAAAGTCAACTACTGATGTTTGTCTTATAGTGACTCCATTCTTTCACCCCTCTAAGAGTACAAGGAAAGTATGATAGATATATGTACGACCAGTAACATTGTAGTGTTAAATTATTCTATGCTTCAGTTAAATACTTGATATCTTCGTTATACCAATATTATCATCATTGTAAAAGAAAACAATACACAGCTCCATAAAGCAAACTTGGCTTTTTGAGATTTTTGCGCGTGAAAAGAAAATGACGCGATTTCAACATTACAATCTAAATTTCTTAACCAAATAAATATTTTTTTTCACCATAGATCAATTAATTAGCTTATGCTTTTTTTTTTCTTTTCCACCACCAAATTGTAATCTATGTGATTTCATAGTGAAAAACATATTTTTTGCCTGCTTCGTAACATAAGTTTGCGAAGTTCATACATAACTCATTATAAGACAACAATGAACTAGTAAGAGAAACTTTGAAGTACACTTTAAACTGTTAAAAAGAAATCGATTTTATTTATAGAAACATATATGTATATACACATGTCTCACATGTTCTCGTAGCCTGCTCTTTCAAATGATCTCAGATTTTTACTTTTTTGAAATTATTTCCGATTTTGTAATTGGCGGCTAAGTTTTTCCACACAGAATGTGTTGACAATGATACAAAACTTGCTTAAAAACTTTTTTGTCAATGAAATGAAAACTACTCACCTTTGCAGGCATTTTGTTGGATATCCTCAAAAGTAACAAATTACGTCTGAAGAACCAATATTTCTTGGAGAAGTTATTGACGAGGACGGGTCTAAGTCAGCTCGAGGGTGAAAAGAATCTGGTGAAAAGAATCTAGGAAAAGAAGAACCCTAACTATTCTAAAACACCCAATCACTTTATTTGGCAGCTGTTGATGTATTTTTCTGATAAATATATTTAATGACAATGGTTGCTGCTAATGTATTTATTCATAAAAAGAAATTTTCATTGGAAGACTGTGACGTCATATATCCTACCCCTCCCCAAATACTGTGATGAAACATTCGGGCACGTACGATCAGCTTTTACACTTATCTTCTTGTATCTCCGAAAAACATCATTACCGTGCACGCTGAGCTGGTAATCTCCAATATTCACCCGTGCATTGCTAGAAATATTTTGTCGATCCCTACGCGCTATACATATGTGACTTTTGTAGCATTGTGGGGGAGTAGAGGGTGTATAAATTAAGTTAATGACGTTATAATCTTAATGTGATCCTTTTTACAAAATTACGCACAGTATCGCAAGAGTAGTTGTGTCTGCTGGCGTGATTGTCTCATAGCATACTTTGTGAGTCTTTGATAAGCCTAAACCATCAGAATCTCCTTTATTGATTTGGGGGGGGGGGGAGGGGGGTTGGCATACAAGGGCTACTTTTTGTATATTTTTACGGTCAAGCTTTGTTAATTTCCAAAATTTTGTCATTTATATAACAATTTCTCTGAGAATTTAGAAAGAATAGAATAAGCATCTATATATTGGATTCGAGACTTCATAAAAATCCTTGCAAACAAAGATACATAGCGGGTTCCATTAAATGTTCTACCAATTAAGTCTATATCTTTACTCCTCACTAAAATATTAACAGTAGTGAAGGAGAAACTTCAGGAGTACTGTACAGCAATATATTCGAGAAGTGGTGTAAATCAGATGTGGATACTTAAAAATTCCAAGGAACTTTGGAAAATTTGAGATCACAAAATTTTACCAAAATCAACAACATAAAAGCTTACGACTTTTCAACTTTATATACAACCATTCCCCACGATAAATTAAAGTCCAGGCTTTTTGAAATCATTGACATCTGCTTTTTCAATAAAAATGGAACTCAATGGATACAAGATTAAAGAAGATGCCGCCACATGAATCAAAAACACGGAAATATTTTTAAAAAATGACTGAAATTACGACCGTGGGGTGTAAAATATGTGAAATGGAATTAACATACATGGATATGACAACAAATATGCTTAACCACTTTAAACTGAATTTAACTCTGAAACTAGTTATGAAAAGGACATCCCGCAAAACAACCATTTATTACGGGTATTCGAGAACGAATTTATTTAGATGTGTGTTTGTAATTATAAATAAAATTCATATGCAGTGCATTTGTGTTTTGTATATACATGTACCGGTTTACAAATGATGAAATAAATATACAAAGTGTAACGACGTTACTTGCAATGTATATTATAGTTACTTCTGAAGTATATATAAGTCGTGAACAAAAATGTTTTAAGTCTAAAGAAAATCTATTCGAGTAACCGGTTACTCGATCGGAAAAGTAAACGAGTAACCGCGGGTCACTAAAAATCGTCCGATTTGACAACACTAGTAGGTACTCATTATTATATTCATGACGCTAGTCTGCTAGAAGCTCCGCAGTAAAGAAAATAAGATACACTGTACAGTTTAAGGACGTTCGATCCTGCGCTTTTGAGCAGATTTTGGTCTGGACCTTTATTTCTAAAGTTCTGTATCATTTTTAAGTTCTAACATTAAATCTGGATTCTACAATGCAAATTAAACTATATCCAATGAAAAAACCGCGATTAAATTCCTTTCAAGTAGGACTAAGCCAGGAACTATATTCTGTGGCGGAAGGTTTTTTTTAGAAGAAAATGATCAGTTTTTCCCTTTTAAAATATATGCAGTACTGTTAAGTTTAGATTCCTGTTTTTCCATGCTGGTTGCACACAGAGCTATTTTTTGCAGTGAAATGTTTTACGCTGGTTCTGAAATATCTATTAAATTATTTCTTATGAATTCTTTCGTCATATTGTGACAAATATAGTAAATGTATTCTGAAAGTCCAGTAAAAAATTGAGCCAATTTTAACATAAAATTGACACCTTTTTAGTAATATCTAAAAATTTACATCATAGACCCCCACTTTCGATTTTCTTTTCTGAATATATAAGATAACTTCTATCAAACTGCTTAAATTCAGCAAAAGTTTAAGACTTTAAAATAATTTTCTTGCTTGTTAAATTTTTAATACCAGAAAAATCACATTTTGTGAGTGCAGAAAGGTCAAATAATTGATTATGCGAAGAAATTTAAAACTTTTTCTTAGTCACAATTTTAATGTGTCTTTTTTAAAATAGATAATAGTTTAATTTGTCCCATGGTTTATTTGGATAAAAACATTGGAGGAAAAACGTCGAAGAAGTGATTTTTGATTAAGACACAAAATGTCAGTGCAAAAAGGTCATATTGAATGTGCTGTAGCGCCAAAAGAAGCATATTGACCCCCATTTTTTGTTCTTATTTTTAATTAAGCTATGTGTGTAGAAACTAAAAATATACTTGACAAAAAAAGTTTAAGACTTTAAATATCAGGATCCAACCTCGTTAATAAATTTCAATGCATGATCAACTTAGCCTACTTTGGAGTCTGAGTCCAGGAACCATAACTTTCACAATATTGGTAAAAGGATCAATCATTATGCTTATTATGATCCTACCAACAGCTGTTTAATATCAAGGAGTAAAGGAGAAGACTAATTTTGTTGGTTTTACCCCTAACCAGCAGGTGCCAGGTGGCCAAAGGTCATTCCTGCGCCAGGTGGATAAAGGTCCGACTCATTCCTGTTTAAACTAAGTCTTATACATGTAATTTAATAAAGTCCCACATAATGTAATTTCGACACATGGAATTAAGTTTATCTATGTATATATAGCAGTAAGATACTTTCAGGCAATATCAATTCAACACTAAACTGAATAAAGGACTTTTATTGGACTTAAACTTTCATTTCCAATTTTCAAGGATGAAAGTCGAACGATTGGACTTATGGCCGTCAAGAAACATCCACTCAAATCCTCAAACAACTTGGTATATTCTTGTTAAATTGGGCAAAATGTATAGAAATCATGCAGGCTTTCAAGGGCAGGTTCCCTTACACAAAAATTTGGTCTTCTTCCTTGCTGTATTCTATTTCAGACATCATGTTATTTTTTTTCTGATGGTATTATGGGATAACTAAACTCTGATACATACATGTACATCGTACAATAATACACAAAAAACTGTTTTATTGTATAAAAAGTTTATTATATAAACCATGTAAACAATAATGTAAATCAGCTAAATAACAATAAAATGGTTTATGACGTAAGTGTAATACGTCATCATTGGTCCCTTTCCGTGTTTATACTGCCCTAATCAATATTGCGAATGAAAACAAAAGCCTGCTTCCAAGTAAAAATTCATGATTTGGTCGAATTTTTTAAATCTTTACATACACTGAACTGTGTGAGCAAATACAATTATGAAAAAAACTATTATCGCTTGTTGTTAGCATTGATTTAAAGAAGCGAAATATTCAGTAGCACGGTTGCTCAAAAACTAAGCAAAAACCTAATTGTAAATGCTTGAGTTGCGAATATCTTGCACAATGAATTGATTGGATGGTTTAGTCGACTATATGCCGGGTGTTTCCGATATTCATTCCTGATTGGTTAGCACCTTTATTAGTACCCATCTGTAGACCAATAATATTCTGTCCAGCTTTAAGTTGTTCTTCTGTGAAATCACGCTTGTTAGCTTCTGCCTCCTTAGGTCCATATGCACCAATCTGAAATCCAGACACAATGATTTTTTTTTACATTTAATTTTCATTACAGAATGACTAAGAATAATACATAAATATTGCATTTAGTTGAGTGTAACTAAAGCTGCGCCTCGGTTGAAAATGGTTTTCTTAGGGTGAAATTTTTTAATGTTACACTCAACTACAAGCAATATTTATTATATTATACTGAATGTTTTCTACAAATACATATAACAGTGAGTCTTGAGCGCATAAATTCTGCGCAGGCAATGTTTTTGGGAATATCACCCGTCGTCATGCAATGTTGACTGTTGCTTTGCTGGAGGGCGTGGCTTCATCATTCAGCGGGTAATAGTGTTTTTTAACAAATGTTTCTCGACGAATCAGATTCAACTAATTTACATGAAAGTATAATATTAGGAAATATCAAATAAGGAGGAAGCACGGTTACATGTTTACTCTAGACCTCCCGTTTCGATCACAAAACATGTATTTGCCGGCTTATACCGGTCTTAGCTGCACCACAGGAAGTGATTTTCATAATTAATCTTTTATTAATTGTGTAATTCTAACAATATTCCAGGAAATATCACTACATCAGGCCACCCTCCTAAAATAATTGTTTCTTAAAATTTACCTTCCTGGCTAGAGCGCTTATTCCAATAACGCACTGATGGAGATTCTGGGCCTCGTGTAAGTCCACAGTGGCAAACATTTCATGATCTGGGACCCCCAATGCTTTCATTTGATCAATGGCAAGACCAATAAGTTCCATTTGTTTGAATGGTAAAGTTGGACTTTTTTCATATTTCTTCGCTGAAATGGACCCTGGTTTAATCGCATTTACTAATCTGAAGAAAAAAAAATTAAATAAATATAGATTTCAGACTTGGCACTCATTGCACATATCAAGAAATACTGAGTCAAATAATCCAAAAATAAAGCATTCAGTCTTACTAATATTTACGGATTATCCAAATTTATAATATAACTGCATGTATATCTCAACCACGTCTTATAAAACGATAATTAACTTTCGACTTATAGGAAAAATCGACTTACTTGCAGAGTTTGACACCGTCTTTGAGTTGACTCTGGAAATTGTCCATGTCTCCTGCTGTGTTAAAACTTTCTCCAGTTTTTCTGCTGATGAAATCAAGAGCTCTTTGTGCTTCAACCTGGTCATATTTACCCTTGATCTGAAAGAATAAAATGTCAAGAGTTTGGAATCCGAAGCTAAAATTCTTTGGGAAATCGGCCGCACACTTAACATGCATTAAATTATAATAAAAATATCTTATAACACTGTGATAAATGTTTTCAATACAATGAATTTCACGCATTCAGAGCGATAAACGATGTAGCAAATTGCCTTTTCCCTTTATAAGAAAATTTAATGCATTTTAATAGTTTAGTTTTTTACGACCGTTTTTATCACTGGACAAGGGCCAATAGCTCTGTCAGTTTCAACAGCCACGCATTCCACAGCGCAAAAAATTATATCATTTTAAGTTTTTTTTATATTATTTTTTTCAGTATCTGCAGACACACGTGTTTCATGCATGACAATGCATGACTCACTCAATACGTCAACTGCTCGATAACATTTGCTTTTTTGCTGAATATGTTGAAATGGATTTGAGTTCATATACAAATGATTGGATTGAAATGAATTGATGTAGAAAAAATTCTAAGCCCTTCATGTGTTTTGAAATGTACTTTAAAAGTCAATGGTACTAAAAAATCGTATAGCAGTGCTCGATAAACGAGCATAGGAAATAAAATAAAATAAAAAAAAAAAAAATAAATATCCTGTTCAATACAGGATGAATCCACTTTGTTGTGGATATAAATGTTCTAAATCCATTTATTCCAGCCGAGGGGGTATACTCCTTTGACATGAACAACGATATCATACATAGCTAAAAAATTAAATCATCTAGTAAAGACCGATCGTTCAATAGAAACATTTTAATGGCATACATAAATAAACATGTTATTTATGTGTTTGTTTCAGTATTTCCATATACTGTATATATATATAGACCTTGTAATGAAAAAAACATACATAATTTAAAAAGTACTATAAATCGTCGATTGGTTATAAATAATGCAAGACACATGGCGTAGAATTCAAGATGTTCAGAACACATTCTAAATATCATCAGATTATCCATTCGTTATACTACCACAGCAGTCATATTTTGAATATTCTGAATATTTTTATCAAGCGCCCCAAGATCCGCGCCCGTCGAATAACATCAAGGTGACAATGCTATCTAAATATATCACCTTCCGATTTTTTGCTACCTTTAGCTTCAGATTATTCGTTCGTTGCCCTGGGGCCTTGTATTATGACAAACGTTTTCCTATTGAATTTATAAACAGTGTCGCTGACACTTCGATCAAATTCAACAGAAGGTCTTTATATAAAATCCACAATGTGCAAATGGGATATTAAAACGAACTTAATTAAAATTCTCTCCATCAAAATAACTTGCGCTTCAGTAATAAGTAAATGCTCTGTGTTTTATCAATGGCGACGACTCCATTTTTTCATTAAATGAAAATTTACTGACAAGGACATGGTATCTCCTCGCAAAATGTATTGAAATAGTGTTCACAATACTGTATACAGGGAAATTTTTCCTCCCATTTATTTTCGCCCCTTTCTACAAGACTCAAGGATTTATTTTCGGGGGACATGAGAAATGCAATTTCATTGAAATTGAAATTGCATTTCTCATGTCCCCCGAAAATAAATCCTTGAATCATGTAGAAAAACAAGTGGTTACCACGGAGAAGAGAAATGACATTGCTTTTGTAAGAAATTAAACAGGTCAAACGTTTATATCCTTCCGAAACTCGATATTACATCCGGTGCGTCATACATACATGTATCTGGAATGATTAATTTTGAATAGATGGACAGTGGACGAAGAACAAGCAATTCAGTAATTGTGAATTTCTTTAGAGAGTGGATTGGCGCGGAAATCATCGATCTAAACAAGCTTGGGGGTATTGTGATTCACGAAAGAACTTAATATAAATGTACTTCAGTGAACACGCCTTAAATGACACATTGAAATAAGTCTCTAAAACAAATTAAACTGTAGGCAGTCTGTATAGGATTACAGAGACGTTGGAGAAGTTTAACACTGGGTCAGCATTTACCCCCCCCCCCCCCCCTCCACATTCTCCCTCTTAGCCTATTTCATTTTAATAACGTCTAACCTTAAAAGCTTTATATAGATTTAAAACGTCTTTAATGGTGTACATGTTACATGTAAATGAAATTAATAATTTAGGAATCATAACCATTGCCATCCTCACAACGTCAGGTGTCCAGAGTCAACTCGTTGCCGTTGGACCCCTGACAAATTTCATTCGATATTCTACGGGCTGACTGCAGCTACCGGGGTAATATCAAATGAAATTTGTCAGGAGTCCAACAACAACGAGTTGACCCAGGACCCCTGAGGTTGTGAGGATGGGTACGTCATTGCGAACTTTGGATCCATCCCGATCTTATTGTCCTTTTGCCTGGCCAGCTACAACCCCTGCCCCTATTTTCAGCTCGCCTGGCCAGTGACTGCCCTCTTTGGATCCACCCCTATTTTTCGTTCTCCTATTTAGTGACAGCTATTCGTTTGTTCTGGCTGTGACCTGTCACTATATAATGTAAACATTCTTGAGATATTTTCCTCCGACAAACAAATCGCTCCTTGTCTCGGCAGTGCGGATAAAAACCTGTTGCAGATTTGATAAACTTTCCCCCGTCAAAACCTGTTTCGGAGTTTTAAAGAGAAGTGGGGGGAAGCTTTCAAGATGGCAGACAGCTTCAAGAGGCAATAAAGTATAATTTGGGCGTGGTGGAAAATTACACACTTGTGAAAAATAAGTTTTTAAAAAAAATCATAAATTATACTCTCTTCATATATTATTGGTGTAACCATTTATTTCCGCTCTGCACTATAAGCCTAATTGTAGGCCACATATTGATAGTCTTCTACATGTAAATTATCTCAGCAGGGAGTCACATTCATTTGACTATTCAATATCATTATGGTTTGAAACACTCATCTGATGTATTTCCGTCTCTCATACACACATAATTAACATTCCTTTATGAGTAAATCGACTTTTATCATTAGCCTCTTGAGAATCATCATTTTATTTGAAAAATTAACATACACTGTATTTTGATGGAGGAAGGTTATTTTAAAATAATATTTCCCGTTTACTTATCGAAAACGCATTATATATTAAAATAGCACAAAAACATACACAACTCAACAAAGGGCGTGTGAGCTTAACACGAGGAAGTTGCTAAGAACATTTAACGTGTTTCTTTCCTTATCTTTGCATAACATTACTGCAAGGCGTTAATGTTTAAAAAAAACAACATATATTTTACAGAGATGTATATATTGTCTATGAAATAAGGACATTATATTTTAATCCTACTTTTGTACTATGTAACTTGATGGTCTGGTAACACGCAGACATTCAATGTGATCTACTCTGTAAATCTCTATATGACATTTGTAGAACTTTGGAAAATTACCCCCCCCCCCCCCCCCCGACAAATAAAGATGCTCAAAACCGAAAGTCCAAGCCACATGTGTTACATGTAACTGATTATCCTGAGCACCCGCCTTCTACACCCACCCAATAGTAAGTAAATGGCGGATTTCGACAATTTTTACTGAGGGATATTACTATTAAAAGTATGTGGAGAATTCATTAGAACCAGGCTATCAGACTTCAACAAAAAGTGACACATTTACACAAAAGGTAGTCTGAACCTAAGTGCCTGTAGGAGAAATCTTGACAACTATCAGAATTGTAATCAGTTAATCGGTCCCCCCTTTTACCCTCCCCGTCACCCCTGGCAGGAAGACTATGTACTTATCTAACATCCACCAAGTCAATCTTTTTCCGGCGTGTTGTTAATGCGATGAAAAATTCCCCAGGTCACCCTCGGCAAAATTACGCTCTCTCTGGCATTTCTATAAAGCAGACTGTTGCTTAATAGAAAGGGTATTTTGATGTAAAGCAGATCACGCTGAATACACGATAATGTTTGACAAGAGACGAGGGTGGTTCTTAATTAAAAATTCTTAAGTGCTGTCAAAGGGGTCTGTCTCCATAGCGTAGAATTCATCTTGAATAAACAGTAAAAATCCTGAAAAGATTATCCCTTTCGCCTTGAATAATTGAATCTGTCGGTCTAGACTGATCGAAGGCAAAGTCAGCGATTTAAAGAATATTTCACATTAACTCAATCCTCTTTTTCATCAGGCCCAATATAATATATAATCCAAAGCTCATTTGAAGAGTCCCATTATGGAAAAATATATATGTATACCAAATGATACAAATTATAAAACTATATAGATGTATATTAAACAATCTGGATCCGCGCCATCAATATTACTAAACATAATTAATCCACGTGTCGCTCACTAATCATCCATCAAATGTATGGGCTGTGGTCGATAGCCACTTTTATCCCGTGACAGGACATTTATCCCCCTCCGACATCCTTACCTTTCCTTGGGCCTCAGCCGCCAGGCCGGACTTTGTCGCTCTGTATGACATTTTTGAGATGAAGATTCTATCTGGACCAGATCTGGTTTAAATATCCCACAGGGTTCAAGTCGCCGGCTTCCGACTGAGAAAGTAAACAATATTTTGAGGCCACTTCGTGTGATTCACATGTACACGTGATACTGGAGTTTCGTGTGCTGATTGGTTAGATTTTATTTATAGGAGGGACTTTCTAAAGAATAAAATTCCGCGATAAGGTGATGACTTTACGTCAAACAAAAAAACCTTTGATGGAAAGTGCATATTTTAATTTTTATTGTCCTTATATGGATCGCAGTGGCTCGTAGGCGGTGAAGTCTAGCGTTGTGAATGCATTAAAGAATTAACAGACTAAATGCCTCCTAGCGACTCATTGTTAAACAATGCTAGCTTAGGTATAAACAGTTATAATATAGGTAAAATATTCCGTCTATCCCACAGCAATTATATTGTTTAAAAGTCTGTGACGCATTGTAATCTTTAGAACAGAATGTCTTTAATTTAAACCGACTTTTGTAAACCTGGACTAGATTATCTCAATCTTAAGATTAACCCGGTGCATAACTATTACGTGTACGTGTACCTTAATCGAACTTATCCACCCATATCATTTTGATAACTTTTAAATGCCATTATAGTGAATACATACCCTCGTAAACGTGGGAAAAGTATGAAATTCAATATATTTTATGTTTAAATGTTTTATTTAACACTTATCACAGGTGTGGAAATGATAATCCCTAACTTCCGCCATCCAAGTTATTGAATTACCCAGAATCTTATTCAGGCTGTGATGTTTTTTTTTTTTTTGGTTGAAATTTGTTTCAGAATTTAAAGTACGACGCACCGTCTATTTACATGTCATTGTCCATACATTTCAACTCTGGAATGTTGGAAAATGCCAATCAAAGTCAACTTCACTGAACTATCCATACACGCAAACGTGTCTACAGGAAATCATGAAAACGTATACTATTGTTCATTTTCACCGTTTTCTTTCTTTCTTTTTTTTTTAAATTTGGATATGGTAACTAAAAGCTATTTAAAATTGTATGATTTAGAACAAAACTAAATTAAAAACAAATAATTTGAAGAACGTTAAAATTTAACAAAATATCAGGAGAAACTCTTATAAGTCTGAACTTAAAGAGTACAGAATGTGTACGGAACTTGCGACCTCGAATTGCACACACACACACACACACACAGAGAGAGAGAGAGAGAGAGAGAGAGAGAGAGATGACACTGCTGAAAGGAAGACAACTCGTACAGGACAGTGTAGATTTGCAAGTAAGGGTTAAACAAACTTTGGAGTAACTGGATGGATTATAGTTTGAAATAAGATTAAACCTTATCACACCCCGCTTTTATTTAAATTTATAAAAATTTAAAATAGAATTATTTCCTATCTAAAATTGTTGTTATTGTTTGGAGTAAAGAAAACCATTTAAAATACGGGAATCTCTTTTTTTCCTGTACAAAATCATTTTTTCAAATCATGTAGAGTTTGAAATGAAGTGAAGACGATAAGAAAGCTTTATGTCCTTTGGCTGTAGTTCACTTGGTCAACTTCAATCTCAGAATAAAGAGGTTTGCGTTATAAATATTTCCTATAGACCCAGTTCGCTTTCGTAATGACTAAGCTATTTCATAAAAAAATGCCACCATTGTCAACCTCTCCTTAATTTAAACAACCCTTTTCATTGAATTATGCTTAAACAAACATTTACTCGAATATCAGTCGCGTGTGTTCATCGGAAAGAAATTGTATGCTAACTATGTGGCCCATTTCATTCATTTTATTTTTACACATGTATCACATTTTACTTGACGTAACTAAATGACAATAGCTATAGATTTAAAGGATCAACTACGCTATTTATATCGTGACGAATCTTTTCAAAATGTATCTGCATAATATATCATAAAATATTACAGATTTTCATTTGATAAACTAAAATAAATAATGAAAATGATACTTCCTTTATGGAATAAACAACATTTTATAGATTTATATAGCATATACATATACATGTACAAGGGTGGTCCAAAAAGTTGTACAAAGGGAAAACAATTTAGTTTCACTTTGCTGAATTAAATTTCTTTTCTTGTCATAGTAAAAAGCAACATCTTATATGATCATGAATTGCAAGTTTATCGATAAAAACACATTTAATGAGAAAATAATGTAAAAATGAAGAATGCGTATAAGTGTGCATCGGCGCACGAAAGCAAGCGTAATTTAAGTATTTTATAACGTCATGACCTTTTTTTTAAGTACTGCCCCGTGTGCTTAACGCGCATCTCTCTAGAATCTCATTGATTTTTTTAAACTGCTAAACCTCTCTTGTGTGAGGGACTCATTAAAATTCACCAATGTCCATAGTTTTTTTTTTTTTTTTTTTTTTTAAATCAGATTCGAATTTCGATCCTTAAAAGGTCGCCATTCATTGTAGGAAGCAGAGAAAACACAAAGTTTGACATCGAACGTGACCGATAACGTTCTTCGCCGTCTGAATTTAACAAACAGTACTCTACTTCTTATATATAGGCCTAACTATTTTCGGTACGGAGGAGAAAACTGTCCTTGAATATATTATGCCATTTATAAACAGCTTCTCTACTAACGTTCTAGTGTGTAATGTTACTTCTATATCTTTTTCCATCTCTGAAGTACTGTAGGGCTGTGTATTGAGCAAAATATTTTTATACGATACAGTAAGTTATTATCAAATTTATGCATGAAATGATTTACAAGACTTTTTTGATAGACTTGTTAAAGAATCCAATATATCGCATATCGCTTTATAAAACATCGTATTGTATCGTATAAAAATATTTTGCTCAACGTTTTTGGCGTGAAGATTTTCGATGTTACACTCAACTACATGCAATATTTATATATAATAGTTATTTAAATTTGCTATCTCCTTAATGTTTTTTTCATTATTGACCAGTTTCAATTAAAATCAGCCAAAAATCATCTTTGGTGACTGAAATTCCCAACTTTTTCACAGTATTATAAGAAAAACTGTCTGCCCGATACGTATTGGAAGTTATTTTTTTTTCTTCGATACGATACATTTCTGAATATCGATACGTATTGATTAATCGATATATTGGCAAGCCCTACCTTGAAGTGGACAAACCACATATGTTACAATTTTATTACATTCCCGTGCGCCGCTTTCAAAGTGTTTGACGACATTTGTAGTAAACTCTTTGAAAATTACGACACCAATCCTCTCTATCTGATACCATTTATGTGAAAATTTGATATACTAGTATTACTAAAATTTTGTTTCTGGTTTTCGTTGATATAAGTTTGAGTTTTATGTTCTACATGCAGAGTAAAAATGCAATTGGAATAGTTACATACGTAAATTATACCGGACCATACAGACCATATCGGCCTTCCTAAAAATTGCCATGTAATATATTCATTTAGAAATTAAGGAACATCGAATAAATTATGGCTATGCAAAATTTGGTCAGTATTGGTTGAATGTTTACAAAGTTATAAACATTGTCTATGACTTTTTGGGACAACCCTCGTGTACAATGGAATGACCAGGCACTGTAAATACCCCCCCCCCCGCCCCCTGGGGTTTGATTTGATATTAAGAAAAGCAATAAAAATGTTGTTTAATATTAAAAGTAATAGAAAACTAAACTCGATGTTTCATATAAGATTCCAGTCTTGAAGAAGATATTAAAGTAGAAGTATCTAAAGTAATGCACGGTAACCACTATAGAAATTTTTTAAAAAAGTAACTCATTTTATTCAAAGTTTTATGACCAATTAAGATGGGATCTTTTACAAACCGAAAAGAAATTCATGTCAGAATACTGTATGCGTACATGGTTATTTTCGCCCCGTGTTATTTTTCGCCCTTTCACACTAAATTTGCAAAGATTCAGTTGCATTTAAGAGATAATGCTGTCCTATTTTAAATTGCCCGTTTTAAATTCGCCCACCCGGGATGAGGGCAAAAGAGACGGGGAAAAACTTTCCCTGTACATGTATATACAGTATATTTTTTAATTGTTAATGGTTATTCAGCCAAATATTTGTATGATTTTATCATTTTATAGACCTAATCGCCATCAAGTCATTCTCAGAATCAATGATGCACAATTCAAATTGCTTCACGTTAGAACTACATCTTCATGTATATGGAAAGTTTTCTTCTTTCAACACTTAAACGATGGACAAATAAAGGACCTATTCATGTTCATTTTCCCAAAAATGTATCAAATTCTGAAGAAATTACGGAAATATTTACTCTGCACTCGAATGACATGTTCTTGTAGAAAGTAAGCGTTTTAAACTTTGTTTTACGAGTCTTTTACACGACAAGTGCTTGATATATACCCCCCCCCCCCTCAAATTTTTATGATAATTCATAACATGGAATTCATAAGACATGGCCCTTTTGGGAAAAAGTCGATAAAATGTGAGAAAACAACAATACAGACGTTTAGGATAAACATGATTGTACGTCGTATATTCATACCAGGTTGTGAGTGTGCAGATGCACATAAATTTCATCTATACCGTATATTTTATAAACCTTTGCTCAGATAAAACAGTATATCTTAGGGGAAACCCCTGTATACCTCGGTGTATAGCTACTGTGTTACGTAAAAAAGTTTTAACCATCTATCACTTACTATCTATTGTATTATACTTTGTACCAAAACGCTGCCGGTGCACCTGATTCGAACAGAGTTACAGCTCTGAACCGACAAAAAAGTTAACGGGGTTACAGCTCTCAATGCTGTCTGTGGTATTACCATTATACCACATACTATTGGGGTTAGCGTTCAGAACAGTAACACCAGACGCAATACGGAAAGTCTCTGGTCTTAACAGAGGAAAAACTAATTCGTACAAGTATTATTCATATTCATGATTTTTTTTTATGTAACAAAATGCATAAATAAATATATAAATATGATAAGGCCAAATATATCTGGATATGAGACTTTTGAAAACGATTTTGCTGAGCACGTACTGCACTTCTCCTAATAGAGTACCTAAGTTGTTTTTTTTCTTTTCTTAACTTTTTTTTTTTTATTAATTTTATTGAGAAGAACAAATCAAGTTACAATAGTACGATAATTTATATATTTATTAAGTAATACATTTGAAATGTGTTTGTTTGTTTGGTTGTTGTTGTTTTTTTAAATATGATATATGATACAGTGTCGGCTGCATACCTATAAGACCCCCCCCCCCCCCCCCCGTCATGTTTGTTATCAGTGCCAGATGCCCGCTCCTGCTGTTGACCATCACATGTGTACACTTTGATTTATTTCATATTTAGCCTATATAATAGCCTAGCAAATTATAAAATATTTAACAGACTGATGTAAAATTTTGTCACGTGATAATTTAAAGACGGGTGTTGATGATCAGCCTCACCGTCACTCGCCATTTTATATTGCACGTGCGCTTTACAAAGACAAAAGAAGAGAAGAAGAGAGTAATCAAGGAAGTTTAGTCAAGTTTTGTCAATCCTTTACTGATTTGAAGACTTAAAATGGAAAAGGTAAGTGTAAAACACCAGTTTGCTTATGAAAAATGTAGATAAAATAAAATGGAAAGGGGGGGGGGGTCGCGGGTTATTTTTCAGAATCATTGTAAAAAGTTTTGTACACTCAGTATTTATACATACATAATAATATGATGATAAATTTACATTTTTATATTGAATATTCACATAAACTAAAAGTAATCTCATACACAAGCTGTTTAGAAGAAGTGGTACCGTTTTAATGAATATATATATAGAAACAATTTCAGATTGGGAGGGGGTGGGCAAATATTTTCAGTTTGGACTCCAGGCACTGCCAAGTAAAAAAGTTCTCGGATGTAATTATTGAGATGACACATAATGGTTGTGTTTTCTATCGCATTTTTCAACAAAATAATAGGGGTGTCAGCGAGCTTGGCATGACCCCCCCCCCCCAAGGTCTATTGAAAAAAAGGGGGGGGGCTGTAGTGGGAAAATTCATGGAATTCCTTCCCATTGACCTGAATAATTAAATTGCTAGCCCCTGTCAGAAATTCTTCAACCACATACCAATTAAACCCCCTTTTATGATGAGAAAGATATCCATACTCTGTATAGGAATGCATTTATCATGTTTATAGATTTATATGCATGCATAGGCGTCGGAAGCAAATTAAAAGTGGGGTGGCTAATTGAAAGTGGGGGGCTAAACCAAAGAAAAAAGGTAAGCCCCAATTTTCAATGCCTATATTATGTATATCTTTGCAAAAAAAGTAAGCCCCCCTAGCCCCCTCCCCCCCCCCCCACCAGTTCCTACGCCTATGGCATGTGTATTGCGTACTCATCAATTGACTTCTTTATATTATTAATGTACCTGTGGGTATCCAAAGTAACAATGATGAAAGGTACAAAAGTGAGGGTGTTTATTTTTTAAGTATATGTACATTTATGTAGTTGATTAATCTAAATAATTCTTAACATGTACACTTTGATAAATACTCACTATTTAATGTCCCAGAAAGATCAATTTTTATCTCAAATTCTGTTGTAAAACTGAGTATAGTGAAAATTTAGTTTTGTTCGAACATTCAATGTTTTAGCAGAAGAGAACAGAATTTACGCCAGAACAAGTGAGGATGCTGGAGGAGGCCTATGGACAGGGCACAAGGAAAGGAAAGGCCTGGTTAGGTGCTCACCAGGAATTGGCAGCAAAATTAAATTTAACAGAACTTCAAGTAAAGGTAGTTCCCTTATCCATTTATGCTTTAAATTTGTTTTTAGATAAATAAACCTTGGTACATGTACCATGTATTTGCCTCAGTTTGATCAAAAGCTCTAGGTTAATCCATATTTTTACAATAACAGAAGTACGTATTAATAATATTAATATTAAATGCTTGATTGTGGTGTTTTATTTTTTCATATATATATATATATATATATATATATATATATATATATATATATATATATATATATATATATATATATATATATATACTTTATTTCAGAATTGGTTGGGAAATTACCACAAATCCAAAAGTGGACATGGTAAATTGGTTCAAAGGAAGACACTCCCAGCAGTAAGGCCAACTGCTTATTCCTTATTTTGTAAGGAATACTCCAAGGGTAAGATCTGACTATTAAAATTTTAAATAACCTTTTTTTAAACTTTTCCAATGAATTATAATTCACTTTGAAAATTATAGAATCTGGTAAATTTAATCCAATAACCAATCAAGTTTTGATATAGTTAAGTGACAGTTCCCTTTTTTAGGTCACCTGACTCACTCAGGTGACCTATTGATATATGTTTTCATCTGTTGTCGTTCGTAGTCAATCGGTCGTATACTTTTGAACATTTTTAGCTTCTTCTCTGAAACCACTGAACCAATTTCAACCAGTTTTGGCATATAGCATCTATAGGTGAAGAGGAGTAAAAATTGTGAAATCCATGGCTCTTGCCCCCCTGGGGCCTGAGGGGTGGGGCAAAAACCACTAAAATTAATGCAATCTTTAAAAATCTTCTTCTTTGCTCCTGGACATCAAGCAGTCAAACTGTTCGCATGATTGCACATGTAAGAAGCAATGAGCCCTCTACCAAAATTGTGAAATTCATGGCCCCAGGATCAGGAGTTCCGGTGCTAGGATGGGGCTCTATTGAATTTAGTGAAAATGCATTATTTCTTAAAAAATCTTCCCCTCTGCTCGTGGGTATTAAGCCAATGAACTGTGTACATAGTTATGATGAGGAAGGGTGCCTCTTCCAAAATTGTGAATTTCATGGCCCCTGGGTCAGGGGTTCTGGTGTTAGGGCGGGGCTCTATTGATTATATAGTGGAAATGCATTAATTCTTTGAAAATCTTCTCTTCTGGTCCTGGGTTTTATGCCGATGATCTTTAAAGATTTTTAAAGATTTTTAAATGACCCTAACTTTTTACTATTTCTTCATTACCTCTCCTTGGAAGAGAGTGTGGCCCTTTATTTGAACAAATTTGAATCCCCTTTACCAAAACAAACTCGTTGAAAGTGGCCCAGTGTTTCTGGAGAAGAGGATGCAATTGTAAAAAAGTTATTATCAATTTCAGTGAAGTGTGCCATTTGGCATTACGTGACAATCTATCTCGACAGATGCACCCAGCGTAAACAATTCACGCCCCCGGTATAAGAACTGTGTGATTGGTCAAATCATTTTGTCAACATTGACACGGAAATAGTCTGTTGCACAAGCAACCAATCAGGGATAAGGAGAGACTACTATTTACCTTGAGTGCAGCTGTCCTCATAGGTTGTGTCGTAATGCAAAAAGGTACACTTCACTGGAATTAATAAAAATGACAACAACAAAAACGACTACAACTAACAACGGACTAGTTCTTTTTATGGCTTGTTATGGAATTCTTGGTGGTGCCCCCTCCCCAACTGAAAATATATGATTGTACTCCCTCCTCTAAACTGAAATTGCTTCCTTCAGGTCTGATAAATACAAATGAATAAGTAATGTTGAATTTAATTTAATATTACAAAATATTGATAGATGGGGTTAAGTCAGACATAGGTGTGAGCAAGTGTCATGTGGCTGTGGGTAAATACATTGTAGAGGCTAGTCCTTACTTTGCAAATTCATCTTTTCAAAAGTTGTGGCTTTGTGTTGGGTCAACCAAAAGGTCAAAAGGATCAAAAGAAATGATTTAGGGTGCAACAATATATATTGTGATGCAGTGGGGGATACACATGATATGATAAATCAATACATAAATATAAGGGTATTTGCAAAGACAAAATAGCAAAACTTATTTTGAATATAGAAATCTTTTTTGTAAGAATTTAAAAAAAAAGTGAAAATATTCATTTTGGTTTATTTTTGGTTACAAAGTAGGCTACTAAATAGACTAGGTCTATAATAGAAAAAGATTTTTTAAACATGTTAAAAAAAGTGTCATAATTTAATCTATATTTCCCTTCCTTAAAGACGTAGAAACTTCATGATGTATTGCGCCCCCCCCCCCCAATTTGGCGGGGTTTTTTTTCAATTGAAAAGGGCGTACTGTCATTAATTTTTTTTTTCAATGACCCATGTTCTTGGGAAATCAAAATACAAGAAGCAAAGACCTTTTTCCTGTAAAACATGTTAAAAGACAAAAGTTGCAAAGGGTTCGCTACATAGACCTATAGGCCTAGATTAATCTCAGCGAGATTCGTAGAGACTAAAAGTGTTGGTACAGTGTCTCTGCGGTCACCAGACCAAAATTTTTAGTCTCTACGAAGCTCGCTGAGATAAGGCCTAGATGGGAATTGAGAAAGATGGCGGCCAAGGGACAAAACTTTTGAAAAGCGTGGCTTCAACTTTCCTCGAGTTAGTACCTAGTAAGGAGGATGAGAACGATTAAAACGAGCCCCCTTTTCAATCAGCTGTTAAAACATTTTCTTACCTTCTACTGGACTGTTGACAAATGTTGCAGAAAGGTATGCCTGCGCCTTTGACCCATGGTACTGGGTGTCCATCCACGTGACCGTTCTGAAGCTCCATCTTATCACGTGACTTCACAATGGGTACGGATAACAGACATTAAACAGATAGGCCTATGTATCCTACAGAGTGCAATTAAAGATGACCCATAATTTTGTGGGTATTTCATTAGGAAGTGTTAATTTATCACGCAGAGATATTCATGTTGTATTGTTTCATCGATAATACCACTACTCAGAGAAGCAGCGAGGATTTTTTTTTTTTTGGGGGGGGGGGTCCTTTATACCAGTCTGTTATACTGCACCGTGCTACATCTGCAGTTTTTTTTTATTTTCTCTGCATGACGTGAACGTCCTACTTTTATAAAATAACAAATGTAGAAATTTTTATGGTTTATAATTAAAAAATATGTATATTATTTCTATCACAGTCAAATCTATATATAAGCCACCAACAGCTGATTAGCCTTTAAATAATCATTTATATTAATTTGTAATTCTGAACAAATTATACGTATAGAGGAGTTTTAAAAAATACATGTACAATATTTATTATTTTTATAAATAATATACGGTCTATGTTTTAAGTACAACCATATACTAAATGTTAGGACCTATATAATTTATGCAATATGGATCTATAATGAATACAATTAACGTAAATCCTGACTTAAGCTTTAAATTGATAATGTGTTTGATGCACATGAAATATTTCTACTGATTCTGATTTAAGTATTGTGCATGAATATACGTAAGAGCTTGAAAAAAAAAATCAAACTGATTGTATTTTAAATATAGAAGACTAAAATAATTTAAAAAAAAAGGTATGAATACATATAGAGCAATATTACGAATCATATGTGTTCGTTTTTTTTTATATTTTATATATATATATATATATATATATATATATATATATATATATATATATATATATATATATATATATATATATATATATATATATAAAATGATTTTTTAAAAGTAATCCGCGCGCAATACGTTCTGTGCGAAAGAGAGCGAGGCTTTCCGTATTGCGTCTGGTGTTACTGTTCTGAACGCTAACCCCAATAGTATATGGTATAATGGTAATACCACAGACAGCATTGAGAGCTGTAACCCCGTTAACTTTTTTGTCGGTTCAGAGCTGTAACTCTGTTCGTATCAGGTGGCCATTTCGTGTTTTCTTCAATCTGTAAATGTAAGAAGAAACATGGAAATTTACAGAATGCACGTTTCTTTAATTATTCTGATAATTTTTTGTCTAGAAACAAGTGATACATTGCTTTTTCTACAGCAGTCCCGTAGCACACCAATTCCACTGAATGGCGTGGTTACCAAACCTGAAGGTGAGACACTACTGACTTTATTACAAGATGTCGTTCTTCTGAAACAGGGACTTGCGTCGACAATGAACCAAGTTACGTTTCTTCAGAGTGAGTTGAGAGAGCAACGAAAACTACACAAGAGTGAAATAGAAAATCTACAACACCAGATGGAAACTCTACAGCAATTTACCAATTTGTGCAATCGGACTATCCATAAAGGAATACAAGAGGCAAGAAAGAACATGTCTAGTCTCGTGGAAAGTGTTAGACATTTGAACAGGTCCATGGAACTCGATCGTATAAATATTTATACCCTGAACGAGACATTAAAAGGTTTTGAATATAACCTCTCGAATGTTGTCCAAGGCACGAACACAATAAAACAATCTATTAGTTTTGAAATTCAACAAGAGTTTCGCCGAAACAGACAGGACATAGTGAACAATATAACGAAGTTGGGTGGTTTTTTTGACATTGCTAATAAACAGAACCATTATATATCCCTCTCTCTGAATGACGTCAAAAACGATTTACGACATCTTGAACAACGTCAAGAAAACGCGACATCGTTACTTGCAGAACTGGAGAAGAACATAACTGATTCAAAGGAAATGATAGGTTCGTGCCTCTCTCTCTTTCTCTCTCTCTCTACATAATAAACAAGATGTGTTTGTGAAACACTGATCTCCCCGTATAGCATCTTATAGCGAAGGTTAAACTTTCTTTAATGCAAGTCAAACTCCAGGTCAAAAGATAATAAAAATGTTGGTACCGAAAGTAAGGTCTTGTCTCGAGGAAAATACCTGTAAAATATGATAGTCATAGCACCAACCGTTGAAAATATATGGAGAAGATTAAAGTTTTTCAAAAGTAAGTCAAACGTCAAGGTCAAGGTCAAATAGACAAATTAATGGTGCCCAAGGAAAGATCTTGTCACAAGTAATACATATGTGAAATATGAAAGCCGTAGCACCAATCGTTCAAAAGCTATTGCCAAGGATAAAGTTTTTTAAAAGTAAGCCAAACTCCAAGTCAAGGTCAATGGGCCAAATTGTTGTTATCCAAAGTAAGGTCTTGTCACAAGGAATACACATTTGAAATTATTAAAGCCCTAGCACAAACTGCTCAAAAGTTTTGGCCAAGGTTAAAGTTTTTCAAAAGTAAGACAAACTCCAAGGTCAAGGTCAAAGGTCAAAGTTGTTGGTATCCAAAGGAAGATTTTTGTTCAAAAGAAATACTGCAGTACACTGTGATTTATGAAAAATTAGCAACAACTGTTCAAAAATAATGGCCAAGGTTAATTTTTTTCAAAAGTAGGTCAAACTACAAGGTCAAAGTTGTTGATATCAAAAGGACGGTCTTGTCACAAGAAATACACAAATGAAGTATGAAAGCATTAGCACAAACTGTTCAACTGTTTTGGCCAAGGTTATTTTTTTTTTTTTAAAGATGGTCAAACTCCAAGGTCAAGGTCAAAGGGATTTTTCTCCTTTCCTGTTACATTTGGTTCTGTGACCACGCCCTAGAAGTGACAGTGAAAGACTTGCCAGGGAAGAGCCTAAGTTGGAGTCTTCGGGGGCCGAAGACCTTTAAGGAGGGAGGGATGTGGCGTCAGACGGATTCGATCGCCGGTGGCCAGATAGCTCAGTTGGTAGAGCACCTGACTGAAGATTCAGGGTGCCTGGGTTCGAATCCGTTTCGTAGCATTTTCCTCCTTTCCTGTTACAAAATTATGACAAATTATATATATACGTAATAAATGATAAAAATCATTAATTCTTCAAAACTGATCTTTGAAATACATTCCATTCTACACGAGCAACCTTTGTTGATTTTTTTCTCATGAACGTAATGTCAGGATTACCCAAGTCATTATCGTCCAAATCAAATCATCATCAGAATGAACAAAAAAAATCCCGATGTAAAATAAATATGTCCTATCTATTTTCATCATTAGAGTCCTATTGTGCAGAAGAAAAAATACACCATATGCCACTCGTCAATAATCTATTGCACATTGCTTGTGTTTAAAAGTTTATAAGTGGGTAGGGATAGATCCAGGATTTTGCGGTTACATTTAATAATGTTTATATTGTACTTACGTACAAATATGTTTATCTTGATAATTAACTTTTATTTTTCAGTCAACATAGACCGTAAAACAAACGACTCTAGGAGTAGAGAAATAACAACAAACATTGTCTTATCTAGAATGCAGACAAAGATTCAACATCTAGAAACAGGTAATTGTAGTGTCTTTTAGCCATTAACCCCCCCCCCCCCCCCAAAGTGAATAAATAAGTAAATTGAACAAATTCTAAATTTGGAGGAGCTGATAGTCTTTATAGATGCACAAAATCCCAATCTTAAGTTATTGTTACAAAGACAAAAAAATCTGCAGAATACAATCAATTATACGTGTCTAATTATGCCCCCGTAAACGTATTCCTTATGACAACACTTTTTTGGGTACCAACATAATTGACCTTTTGACCTTGGATTTTGACATGCTTTTGCAAAAAAAAAAAAAAAAAAAAAAAAAAAAAAAAAAAAAAAAATTAAACTCTATCCTTGGCCATAACTTTTGAATGATTGGTGCAAGGGTTTTTTTGTATTTCATATGTGCATTCCTTATGACAATGCCTCCGTTGGGTACCAGCATTTTTCCCTCTTGACCTTGAGCTTTGAGTTTGACCTACATTTGTAAACTCTTAATATGACCTTTCCTATAACTTTTGAACGGTTGATAGGACAATCATGTTTCACGTATGTAGTTCTTGTGTCAAGACCTTTTCTTTAGTACCAATATTTTTTACCTCAAGACCTTGACCTTGGAGATTAATAATAAAATTTTCTAAATGGTTGTTGCTAGGATTTTTATTATTCACAAGTGTATTCCCTGTGACAAGACTTTTCTTTTGGAACAAACATTTTTTTAACTTGACCTTGAAATTTTACCTACATTTGAAAAATCTTTAACCTTGGCCTTGAACTGCCATACGGGGGCATCAGTGTTTCACAAACACAATCTTGTTTAATTTTAGATGTAAACACCAGAATTATCTTCACAGCTGGGAGAACAGCCACCAAACAGGACTGGACGGTAGGAGAGAGACTTGTATTCACAGCTGTGATTGACAGTCAAGGTGGCGGATACAACACAAGTACTGGAATATTCACAGTCCCTCAAAACGGGACGTACCTCTTCTTCTGTAACATTTTGACCTATAATAACCATACCTTTAATGCCGATATCGTTGTCAATGGACAAACAAAAGAGAGGATTGTTACGAACGCATATGGTGTACCCAAATCCATAGCGTCATAGCTTCTCATAATACGCCTAAAATCAGGAGATCAAGTCTATGTTACGCATGCTCAAGGAAGTCTTTTGCTTTCAGATGGTGCCCATGAAGTGACATTTTCTGGCATGAAAGTAAAATAATTATTTTTTTAGGTTTTGTGGCGATAGGGAGAGGGTCCTGTCAGGTGTATTATCATTCCTATACAAAGAATATTTTCAATTAGGAAAAAGAGGAAATGAATATAGACTACTTTTTTTTTTTTTTTTTTTTTTTAGAATTGATCACTAAGATTGCTTTATGACAGTAAATGATAAGGAATGACTTGTAATTTAAAGTTTATCCTGAGTCAATTTCAACTTCGTTAACGAAGTTTTCAACCACATCGTAACAAAACTTTGGTTAAAAGAAGAAGGCATTTTACGACTTTTTTTTAAATCTGTAAGTATGTAAGCTTATCGATGCTTAATGCACCTGTGTGTGTATTATCATTAATGTGGAGAAAAGAAATGTGACTCGGGATATAGGGAAAGGTGCGGAAAGGTACATTCTATTCGTAGAATATCTGAAATCAATTCTTTGCAATGAACCTGTTTGATAATGAATGTAGGTACTTATCTATAGTGATTTTTATACGTGAATTTCATAATAACTGAACTGAAGAACAACATAATTTGGGTACGAGACATAGAATGTTGTGGGTAATTATATGTGCATTTATGGTAGAAACAGCTGAAGATAAGAATAAAACAAAGTTTTCATCCTAAGATTTTTTCTTTTACTTTTTTCAATGCTAATAAAGCAAAATGAAACAGTTATTATAATAATTATTATACTCTAAGTACATCTCCATATAACGACATGCCACACGCTATGCGGACGACCAGATTTAAATTATGGTAATTGTTTATTTATTTAAGAATGAAAAATTTTACTAGTAAGCTTACTTTCATGGCACGTGCTATGTATGATCATATATAGTATTTAATCAAATAAATCTTAAATTTCAGCAGTATACTTTTCTGAAAAGTTAATGATTATCATTTTGTCTATTATAAGGAAATCAGGCGATAACGAACAGTATTCAAGGCCAAAATCTATTTAAACAACACAAATCGGTAGCACAGCAAACGCGAACCTCAAAAAAAAAAAAAAAACATCAGTGGTGGGATCAGGTGCAATGAAGGAGTGAGCATCTCCTGGCAACCAGTCACATCCGCCGTGTGTTCCTTTTCATGATCGGGAAAAACAGAAAAATCCGTAAACAATTTAAGGTGTAAATAATGGTCTAACAATTGGAAAATATCAGTCAGAATTTGACTCAATAATAGCTTGTATTTGCTGACTGGTCATGTATCGACCATAAAACTTGCGAAATGATGACTTTAAATGAGACGGTTGATATCCTTGTTTCATCAACTTTTTTTCAATAGCTTGCCTTGTTTTAGAAATTTTCATACGTAGAGCATACTCTTGCGTATCCTATCAACTGAGAGACATAAACCCCATATTGCAGGTGATAAGGGTATATTGCTACATAAGTAAGGGAAGTTGAAGATTAAAAAGTTGAAGTCATCACGTTTATCACAAAGTTTTGTTGTTAGGTTAACATTAAGGTTTTTAAAAGCTTAAAAGGTTTAGACACTTAGTTTACTAATTTTACGTATTTTTGGTTTTTGAACAATTGTAAGGAAATGTATAACTTGATTGATCAAAAGAATACATTGACTTCAGTAAGGTGGATGTAAGCTGAAAATGCTAAAATCATAGACAAAACAAGCATTTCTAAGAATTTTTAAAAAAAATATCAGCAGTATTGGGTTTAAAATAAACTAGAACATACAATACCACTTTTAGTGTTTAAGCTGGACAAGAAATAGTATATAGATATTTATGCTGAGTGAATAGGGTAACCCAACTGTACAGTACAGTATCGAACACTAAGGGTGAACGTTGAGAAAATTAAATCTCACATTTTTATAATGCCCGTGACGTCGAAGATTTTCCTGTACAGTGACTTTATGATATATCATGTCAATCACATAAAATGATGTTTAATTTACAATATTTTGATATGAAATTTTAATGTACATACAAGTAAAGATCGATTCTTTTTATATTGTGTATGATTTGATTATGTAAATATTTTTTCCGTGCAACAAGTCCGCGTAAAATTTGAACGGCCCTCGTATTTACAGGTCACATTAAGTCTGGTAACTGTTCTAAAATAAGATAGCAAGTCCTCCTGTAATAAATGACAACATTAATTTGTTACTCAGACAAACAGACAAACAGAAAGATAACTACATAGTAAATTCTATGATTAGAAAAGCTAAAGTTTGAAGAAGATTAATATAGTTGATGGAGAAATTTTAGTTTTCCTACGAAAAGAAAGTCTTACGTGGAATGTGCTACTCCTTCCACTTGAGTGATATCTAGTAAACATTAAAATTGCATGCCAGAGCATGCAATAGTTTAATTAACAGGTATCTGTAAAATTATAATTTTTATGCTTCAATTAAGTAACCTTGGTTATATGCATTACATTTTTGATTAACCACTAAGCAAGTTGTTGGCTGTATAATTGTTCAGGGATCCCGTTAATTAGAATTAAAAAAAATCTAAGCTTTATCATTTTATTTCGAAATATTCTTGTCTCAACTCAACCAGTACCTTTCAAGATGAGCTTACATTCGCGTGATATCAAATTTCCACCTTTATACAGCAATGTACAAAACAAATCTGTCCCCTGAAAAACTGGAGAAAAGACATGCCCTGTATTGTATCTTTTGATGCACTAAAGGAATTAAGAATTCAAATCAATCGGCAATCCCTGGTTGACTTTGCTCCGCTCCATACAAACCTCGGATGTGGTTGGTGGAGAAATATGCATCAAATCGATGCATTTTGCGCCGGATTTACCTTTTAACTCTTTTCATATTTCGCATTGAACAAAATTCACCAATTTTTCAATCTAATTTGTGTTATCTGATATAAATACATACAACTGTAACAAAAGGTTTTTGGTCGGTTTCTATAGTGATAGTTTCTGAAAATAGATGACCAAGACGAAAATATATTTTATACAATGTTTTATTCTTGGCGTTCCAGCATAAAGTGACAATTATATGATGTATGATAAAAGATGACATATAAAGACAAAAAGATAATAAACAATGAGTCTTTGCAACCTACGCAACATATATATAATGACCACATTACATAATACTTAATGAGTCGTTGCACAATGAAGATTGATGCAACTTGTATATATATATGTATAGACAGCATATTAACCTTGACCTTACATGTGCATGTCATATCATATATAATATAAACACTGTACATATCAATAAAATAAACAATCAAAAGTGGGGAAAATTAACCTAAATGGAAGAGATCACATGGTAATGGTTCAGTTACTTTCACTGTTAAAGGTGCTTAAAGGTGCTTAGACACAGATTTGAAGTTAATATTTTCTCAAATTTTCTGTATAATATCACGACTTATATATTGCAAAAGCATTTCACACGAAAATATAATTAAAAACTTATTTTATCTGGAAATTATTGGAACTACGAATTCCTGGAAGCGTTTGATTAACACATCCTTGCACTTTCACAAATTTTATCTTTATCCTAAATATTTAAGAAAAGAAGCTATTTTTTTTGTGTATTAATGAAAAACATTACATCTATAATCCAGAAAATTCAGAGTAGAAATGTGCGAAAGCAAACCCCCTCACTAATGTCGTCAGCCCGTGCTCAGTGTTGTGTAGAGTTTAACAAATTGAATACACCCGTGAAACGTAAACTGTTTTTGTAAACAGGGCACGAGCTCTGTTATTGTTAATGTTTACGATTCACCGGGTGTGTTCAATTGTTAAAGTCTGCACACACCACTGAGCACGGACTGACAATACTGTGAGTGGGTTTTGCTTTCGAACATTTCTACTCTGATTTTTCTGGATTATAGTTTTAACAGTTTTCATTCATACACAACAAAAATGCCACTTTTCTTAAGTATTAAGAATAAAATTAAAATCTGTGAAAGTGCAAGGATGTGTCAATCAAACGCGTCCAGAAATTTGAAGTTTCAATAACTTCGAGATGAAATAAGATTTTTATTATATTTTAGTATGAATTGCTATAGCAACATATAAGTCATGAAATTATGGAGAAAATTTGAGAAAATATTAACTTCAAATCTGTGTCCAAGCACCTTTAATACTCATGAATTTCTCTGATGATGAAAGGCATTTTTAACTCAATAATAATTCAAGGTCCAAGTACTGACGTTATTTCAAATTATATTATAAATATGGAGGCGGAGAATTATATAAAGACAAATTTCATATTTCAGGCTATTTTTGGAAAAATCTGATGAGGAAAGTGTTAAAGCCAGGAATAAGTTGCAATGATGTAAACTAAGATTCTATAATTATTTGAATAAAAATCATCAAGATGATTTGGCATGAAATTGACCCTAAAAAAAACAAGGAAGCTAAGTGCAGATTAATATAAAATCTTTTCATAATGTGCCTCTGGATAAGTTGTTTTTCATATAAGCATCGCCTTTCCAATTCTTATGTAGGGTATTAATTTAAATGTGAATCGTAAACCTAAAGGTTAAGAAATGAAATAAGAATTCCATAAAATTCATGGAGTTTTGGACGTTTTATTGTGGCATTCATTTAATGTGCAATCAAAAATTGCTTTTGATTGACGCGTGTATCAGTTTTCTTTTGTCTTTTGGATTACCTTATACTATCCGATAAGTTGAAAAATAAGAGTCCAATAAGTTTTATAATTGACAAACGACCTAAAAAATTGAACAACAGGGACATTCTATAACATTGGTTTGTACTTTTAAATTGACGGGATCTGGAATCTAACAGCCGAACATAAAAAGAATACAAAACAAGCATGTTTTAAGAATAATGGTTGAACACGTATCAAGTCCAAGGCTAGCTTGTACGAGCCTTACAAGGAACTGATACGATTGATAGTGTTTTATGAAGGAAAAG